AGCTCTAACGAGCAGGCCCCTCTTTTTCCTCTTGTACCAAATTGTATTGTAACTGTAATGTCAGCCTTCATTTTGTAAAGCGCTGCGCAAACTGTTGGCACTATTTAAATCCTGTATAATATAATAATAATATTAGCCCTTTTTTACAGCTGGCACATGCGCTCTGAAGGAACGGCATACCTGTGCGGTTTCTTCAAATTACTGTGCTGTGGCCCGAGACTCCCACATGCATGCACGGGAGAGACTTCGTTGCGACGAGCTCACGAACCCAGAAGGCAGACCAGGTGAAGGTAGAAATCTCTGCAACGGTGACAGCGCGCTGCTGGAGGGCTTCGTATTAAGGCAAGTCCCTCATAATGTGCTAGTATGCAATGCATACTAGCACACTATGACATTACCTTGCATGGAATTTTTTTCTTTTTTCCCCAAGTTGAGGTTTACTACCACTTTAAATCTGCTTGGTGCTGGTGGTGAGAAATTCCTAAGTATGAGCTTTTCTACATCAGGACTTACTGTATATACAAGGGGGGGAGGGTCAAGTCAAACAGGGAGTTTTCAGTTTTTATTTAAAAAAAAAAAAAAAAATTTCAAGGAGTGGAAACTGCATTTATTTTTCAACATACGCCCCCGTTACATTTATTCACTTATTCCAGCGTTTAACTAATGCTTGGAAAGCTTCGGTACAGAAAGATTTGTCAGTACGCCTGAAGCATCCTAGGACAGGCTGCTTCGCTTCGTCATCAGTGCTGAAATGCTGAACTCCGAGGAACTCTTTTAGGGGTCCAAACAGGAGGAAATCAATTAATGCGAGGACCGGGCTGTAAATGGGATGTGGCAATATCCCCCAGCCAAGTTGCTGTAATGTGCACGTAGTGCGGTGAGCAGTAGGAGCTCGTGTTGTCAGTGAGAAACAGGACACCCTTGGTGATCAAACCAGGTCACAGTGCAGACTTCAACTCTTCTATGCTGTCTTAGTATCCAGCGTGCATTAACTTTTCGAAAATGAAAAATGTTCGTGAATGATTGTGTTTACCATTTTCACAGAAAGATTTGTCTCTTGTGCAAGTTCATGACAGGTTAGGCATCGTCCAAGCACTGAATGTTCACAGGAATGACTTCTGTGGGCTTGGAACCACACGGCCAGCATGGTCACCGACAGACGTACAGCCGTCTTTGAAACATTTACACCATGCAAATGTCTTACCGCGTCTGAGCGTCTCATCCCCATACTGTGCTTGCAGTCTTCTGTAGATATCTGTGGGTTTTACGCCCTTGTTCACAAGAAACTTCATTACCGCACGCTGTTCCAGGCACGCACTAACACTGTTGTCTGCCATCTTGATTAACGGTCTCTGGACTGGCCTACGACATGTGCACCGCCTAGCAGTAATAGGATTTGAGCACAGGTATCTCTTGTTTGTTGTATTGTTGGGTCAATAACCAGACCTGAACCTTGTAGCTCACCCTCATTGTGTCTTTTCCCCTATGTTAGCATTGTGTCCACAGTAGCATTTGCGTAGGCAGAGCAGATTAGAACTGGCCATAGAGGGATTACGTTGACGCAGTTGGCCAGCTTAAGCATGTATTGCAATATGTGTGACCTAAATATCCCTATTTATTGCATAGTCTGCTTGAAAGGGTATATACATAGTGCAGGGGGGGGTCCTTCAGAATTTCTAGTGTTAATATGTGGTTACACCCCTTTAGCACCTGATGGATAAATGCATGCACTAGCTGTTGGGACTTGAGCACAGGTATTTCTTGTTTGTTCTCTTGTTTCTTTGCCTATCAGTAATAGGATACACTTGCCACTTACTGCTGCATGTAGTAATGCCACACTAGCATCCGTTTTTTTATACCTGTAAAATTAAAAGTCCTGGTTTGACTTTAACATCCCTCATATGTTAAAGGCAAGAAAGAACGTGTTCCAGCATCACTTACAAGTGTGTTTTAGGACAAGCATCTGTCTTTTGATATATTTTGAATTCAGTGTTGGATTGTGGTTGATAGTATGTAAAGGAGGAACTCATGCACATGTCTGTAATTAATTTACTGATATCTACATAGGATCTTGCTGGCAGTGCCTGGAGCAAGATCCCAGCATAAAAAAAAAGAAAAAAAACCCCCACACACATTAATGGTCAGTTCAGTAATTCTGTAAACAAGCTTAGACTTGTAAAACGTACAAATCCGCTACATTCTTCTTCCATTCCTCAATCACATATTTACATGTGTTTGCATGCATGTACTGTAGATGCGTATACGGGTAAATTACTGATCATGGACACACATTTTTTGATTTTATGGATATTCACGCAGCAAAACTGTATTTATTCATTCAATTTTATTCATGTAAACACAGCCGTGTACACGGGCTCATAGGATACAATGACGCTGTGTTCATATCTATTAAAAAACTGCTTTACAGCTCCTTCAGACAGCAGCTGAGACCTGTCCTCTGTACTGAGACACTTTTTTCTGCATGTGCATCCACCATACAAATGGATGCAGAGGCTGCACAGACACAGCTGTATGTTAAAATTTGCCAAGCGGACAGGAGCAGGTGCATAGATCCGAAAACACAGTGAGGATGATTTACTAAAACTACATGGTGCAAAATCTGGTGCAAGTCTGCATAGAAACCAATCAGCTTCCAGGTTTGTCAAAGCCTAATTGTACAAGCTGAAGTTAGAAATTGATTGGTTACCAATCACAGCTGCTCCATATTCTGAGTGCTCCAGTTTTATTACCCCAGTGTCGGTATTCGGATTCGTGTACCGCTCCTGTTCGCATATCAAATTTTGACATGCGACTGCATCCATGCAAATACTGCTGAGCACAGAGGAGGGGTCTCAGCGCTCATCTGAATCAGCCCTTACAGATCTGAACACATTTTTTTTTCACATCAATGCGCATGAGCCCCAAAAGAGCAGACAAAAACAGGCTACATAGAGAAGACAGAGGAACCGAGCCAAACAAGACACTCACCACCTTCTCACTGTAGCATGTGTTCAGCTTCTGAGATAATAAATGTGCCACTGACACATTAGTTTCTCAACCTAATTTCTTTGTGTTAGCATGCAAACTCATCCCTGTTTCCCCCCACCAGTACTTAGGTCATTAATGCAATGATATAGTAAAGCAGGGGGACAATCACATTTTTCCCCCCCAAACCAGCAACATACAGTAAGGTCCTTATATATTTGGACACAGGCACAATTTTCATACTTTTGACTCTGTATGCCAACAGAAAAAATTAAAATGAAACAATCCGAATGAATTTGAAGTGCAGACCTTCAACTTTAATTCAAGGGGTTGAACATAATTATCAAGCACAAATTTTAGGAACTGCAACCATTTTTTATACACAGTCCCTCCATTTTCAGCGGCTCAAATGAAATTGGACAATTGAATATAATCATAAATAAAAAATATTCATTTTTTATTTTGTTGAGAATCCTTTACTGACAATGACTGCCTGACGTCTGGAACCCGTGGACATTACCAAAGACTGGGTTTCCTCCTTTCTGATGCTTTGCTAGGCTCTAACTGCAGCTGTCTTCAGTTGTTCTTTATTTGTGGGTCTTTCTGCCTTAATTAGTTTTGCCTTCAGCAAGTGAAATGCATACTCAATTGGGTTGAGATCAGGTGATTGACTTGGCCATTGCAGAATACTGCACTTTTCCTTCAAAAGCTCCTGGGTTGCTTTTGCAGTGTGTTTTGGATCATTGTCCATCTGTACTGTGAAGCGCGTCCAATCAACTTTGCTGCATTTGGCTCAATCTGGGCTGACAGTATGTCTCTAAACACTGCAGAATTCATCCAGCTGCTTCTGTCTTCTGTCACGTCATCAATAAACACCCAGTGACACTGGAAGCCATGCATGCCCATGCCATCACACTGCCTCCACCATGTTTTACATTTGACGTTGTGTGCTTTGGATCATTAGCTGTTCCAAGCCTTCTCCACAATTTTTTCTTCCCGTCATTCTGGTACAGATTAATCTTAGTTGTATCCATTCAAAGAATGCTTTTCCAGAACTGGTCTGGCTTTTTTAGATGTTTTTTGGCAAAGTCTAATCTGGCTGTTCTATTCTTTAGGCTTATGAATGGTTTGCACCTTGTGGTGAACCCTCTGTATTTGCGCTCTTGAAGTCTTCTCTTGATTGTAGACTTTGACAATGATACGTCCAACTCCTGGAGAGTGTCCTTCGCTTGTCTGGATGGTGTGAATGGGTTTTTCTTTACCATAAAGAGGATCCTGCGATCATCCACCACATTTGTCTTCTGTGGACGTCTATGCCTTTTTATATTGCTGAGCTCACCAGTGTGTTCTTCTTTCCTCAGAATGTACCAAACTGTTAATTTGGCCACTCCTAATGTTGCTGCCATCTCTCTGATGGATTTGTTTCATTTTTGAAGCCTTACAATGGCCTGTTTCACTTGCATGAACAGCACCTTGAACGTGTGATGTAGGTTCACAGCAATACATTCTAAATGCAAATACCACACTTAAAATCAACTCCAGACCTTTTACCTACTTAATTGATGAAGAAATAAAGAAGGAGTAGCCGACACCTGGCCATGAAACAGCTTTTGATTCAATTGTCCAATTACTTTTGATCCTTGAAAAAAGGGGGATGGCTAATTTTAAGAGCTGTAATTCCTAAACCCTTCTCCAATTTGGATGCACATACCCTCAAATTAAACATCAGAGTGTGCACTTTCAGCCCATATCCATTATATAACTATAGCTTGAATATGTTTTGGTCAATACCTGAAAAAAACTAAAATTGTGCCTATGTCCAAATATATATGGACCTAGCTGTAGGTTATTTTTAGGCATTCTAGGGTCAGAAGAGCACAGGGACTTTTTAAAAGGTCCATCCTGTAAAGTCAGCTTACATGAAAAGTAAAGGTTCACTTGGCCTACCAATGTATTCTGCCTTTCCACACTAAAGGGATCATACTGGATATTGCACAGTATGATCAGGGGCTTACCTGCTTCCAAGCAAGGGTCACTTCTTTCAAAATATTCAGGAGCGATCTGTTTAACCACGGTGTGAAAGAAATTGATGTATGGCAGTTTGCTGATCAGAACTAAGGACTGAAAAAAAAAGAAAAAATAATTTTCCTTTATAAATTAGAAACACCAGAGTAATTGTGATGGAATTTGAAATCACAATCTTCAAAAAGAGTAATAATAAGTAAGAGTAACAAAGTCCAAAAAATAAATGTATTTTCAAGGCACTACATATCATAATTTCTAAAGTTCACTACACCAAGCTGACCAATAAAAAAAATCCATCTTAAACTGGTCATACTTCAATGATTTGTGACTGGCTGTTGATTAGTGAATGTATCTTTTTGCTCCTCATCCACACAGGGAAATTAGAGAGGAAGTTAACATGTGCCTCTGGACTGGTCATAGGTTCTCATCAAAAGTGTCAACTATGCCTGCCGTTTCTGCCCCATTCACAAACGCTGTACTATAGCGTCCTGTAATTAAACACTCTATAAATGGAGGCGGTGGACCTTTCATTCATCGGGCCATCCTCCTGCCCAGAGCACATGGTGGGAATGGGCCCTAAGGGAATGAATATACGGAATGCTTCAGGGCACATTAATACAGTAATCGACTGCATATATTTACCAAATTAGAAGCTTTTTAGCAATGAAGGTCCTTTTACCCACAGAAGAAACAGAAAAGCATAGCAGTACTAAAAATCATTATGTCAAATTAGAGAATCCAACAGGGAAAACATACAAGTTTGCAGCATGCTATTTATATTACAGCCTTTCACAAAGCAGCCAGCGCTCGGTATAGGTGAATTTTACCACATTAGCTTTTTTGTGTCTAGCTACAGAAAACACACACACATAAAGCACTCAGAAGAGTTGAGTTTGAGAGTTGCCGCAGAGCACCCATTTATACTCAGACCGCTGACAGCAAGATGTGATCCCGGGTTAATTGCACCAACAGCCAGAGATCGGCGTTTGATGCAGCTGTCATGTTCTTAATTACCTTTTGAAAATATCCTCTTTTTAAAGTCTTGTCCCGGACTTGTCGAAAATATACGTAACCATAGAAACAGGATGGATCTTTCTGTTAAAAAGACAGATAAATATGAATTAAAGTCTTCAGGCAAAAAAATCAATATGGCTTTCTATAAAACCAAATTTTAAAAGACTTGTTTTCGTCTGACATTTTCAGAGGTATTTGAAGATGAATCGTTTCTACAATTAAGTACTGTTATTTGTTCAGCTGCACTTTAAACTAAATGCTAAGGACTTAAAAACAAATCTTTAAAGCCTCACGCATCTCCCTTAAATCTCAAGACACACTCATAAGCAAATTCAAGTACGACACAAGCTGGGCATACGTGGCTCAAAATTGCATCAGGAACTGGCCGAAGTTTGCTTTGTGGGAGGGGTATCCTGTGTGCACCACCTGACTGACATCCTTCAATTGACAAATTGAAGGAGCCAGGAAGAAAATTGTTGTCTGAAAGAAGCTGCATCCAATCGGATGCGGCCGCTGTTCAGGTATTTTGACAGGCGGTGATGGCCGAATCCAATAGGCCACCAAAAGGGAATTTGTCCATCCTGCAAATCAAAATGTGTATTGGTAGCTTTATCAGTGTAAAGAGCAGGCCGACCGCTACCAACTACCCTCCTCCACTCCCCTTTGCAATGATCACTTCTTTATACTTGTCAATCATAATACAAAGAGAAGTATGAAGAACAGTTGGGAGGAGGTGGGTCAGCTCTAAACACTACTAGGAAGTTTTGACATTTGCATATGAAAACACTCTAGCAGAGAACTTAAAAAGTGCCCAAGAAGGCTTTCAAAAGTTATGGGCAACTAGATGCCTACATGTTAGCCATAACAATAACATAATGACAGATGTGCATTTGAGGGGAACCTGTGGCCAGACTATAGACATTTCAGCATACAGATATTGCTATCAAGCAATTAGCATGTTATAAAACAAGCCCACACTTAGCTCTGTATTGGCATGCAATGTGAAGCGATTCATCCTCAAAGCTGACAAGAGAAGCATTTAGAGTTTTCCAAGTTGCATCACACAGCACTTGCTTTACTCTTCCAGTGCTGTGTTTACTTGGAAATTTGAAGGCTGAAAGGCTGCCAAGTCCAACTCTGCAAGGGGAAGCAGGGAGAGATAAGCTGGTCAGATGAGGGCTTCAATACTTCTGCTGTGAAATTTTAGTACAAATTGCTCCACAGTGCCTGCAGCTACAAAGCTCAGCGGACATGTTTTAAAGCTCATATACAGCTTGTTAAGGATATGTACTGTAAATGTACATGTCTATCAGTCTTGCTACAGTTACACTTAAAAGCAAACCTTTCAGTAATTTAATGTTAATATTTTTGCCCCAGGTATAAAATATAAGCATCAGAAATAATCTGGCTATCACTGGCTTTCAAATTGACATATAAACTTTTTTTTCTGTTTGACATTTTCTTACCACAGCACTCATGATTTTCTGAACTTCCAGTGTGCTCAGACACACATCTAAAAGGAACATGCGGGCTACCTGCTCTTAAATCATGCTGGTATTTTGAAAAATCTGTTTTTATGGAACACAAAATTGCATGCTTTAAAAAATACCTTACAGGTCAACATTTATTGTAGCAGGCACCACCCAAAAATACTACTAAAAAAAAACAAAAGCAAAACTCCAGTGGGCCCCCAAGCTGTATGCAACTTCTAGGCTGCCACTAAAGTCAAGTACTACAACCCCCCCCCCCCCCCAACGGCATTCCACACTGCAATACAGACAACCCATTGGGAGAAACCACCTTACACTGTGAGATGAGGTACAAGCTTGCTACTACTCAAATTTTTAAAAGTTCTCCACTAAGGTTTGATGGAAGAAGAAACATGCTCGCTATCACAAGAGTTTCGATTTTAAAATTTTAACATATCTGTAAGTGCAAAATTGCTTTGTACTGTTGATAACATTAAGGGCCAGTTCACACTAAAAAATGCACTCCAGATGATTTTTGCTTACAGGTCACACCACAAGCAGTTCCAGTGCAGTTTGAATCCAACTTGCTGTGTTCCAGCACTAGTGTGAACTAGGTCATTGGAATACATGGAAAACACTGTGCATGAATTTTTGATGCAGAAAAAAAAAACCGCACTGAAGTGCATCTAGTGTGAACTAGCCCTAAAACACTGCAAGCTATGTAAACAGCATGTTACAGATATAAAATTAAGTATTGTTTAAAACCATGAATATGATTTCCTTACAATGCAGCAGAAAAAAAAAAAAAGAAAAAAAAAAAAAAAAAGTGACATCCGTTCGGTGGAGCGCAAATTGGCAGTTTTGGTTTCCATTTCTAAGATATTACATGCTTGATTGTTCTACATTAATTTAAGTGTGCTTTTAGACAACTTTTTAGTAAATTGGATAATACTACAGGTCTCGCGATTTCTTTCCCTCTACGAGGGAGATCTATAGAGTCTCCTAAGAGCATAGGAATATTGCCAATATATACGATGAGATCCAATTGTTCATGTGTATGGGGGATTTTCGGATGATCAGAAATCTAACATCCATTTGAGATATTACAAATATACAGTATGTGACCTTCTTTGAGAAAAGAGGTCATATACTTCTGGTGAGTTTGGTGTACGTTCTTCTGGGAAGACAGGAAAAGCACTCTTTCCCTGGGTGTCATTTTTCTGCACAGTTTGGATATGAACATTTGGTACTGATCACTTTGAGTCCGAATACAGATTATGAACTTTTTTTTTTTTTTTTTTTTTAATATGAATTGTCTACTGATTCTGTATTATGTTATTGCACGTTATTGCTTTTTGCACATTCTTTTATTTATTACATAGAGCACTCTCTTACTTATACATCTTTCTTTGTGCATTGTTTAAAGAGCGCATTTTATATGATATGCATATAATTCTGGCTTATTACAACCTTAGAGACGTGCTGATCTTTGGTTGAGGACTGGATATATTTGTACACAAGGGGCACTTCATAGTTAACTGCATATAAAAGAGTGTAATCTATTTTATATTCATACACTATATTTATATTGCTTACACAAGAGTTTAAAAACAGTTTCTGTTAAAACTTGAACTCCAGCCAGATATCACTTATATTATACATTCATTTTAAAAATTATTAAAGTGCATTTTTACCAGTATAAAGTATCCAAATCTGACTTTATACCAGATTTCCTTCATCCTCTGCACAGCAGAGGGATGGGCAGTGTGCAATACTAGGAGCTTGCCACTAGGAAGAGAAAAATTGATCAAAGCAATACCCTGATCAGCCCATTAACTTCATTGCCCAGTCAGGAAGCTGGGGATAGGCTGGTGACCAGGCAGCTTTGCCTACAGCAGAGGAGAAAGGTAAAGTCACAAACCTGGCTATGCTGTCTGGCAAGAAAGGATGGATCACAAAGCTGGCAGAGCACAACCACAAAACCCAGGCAAACCCGAATGGAAGGATTTTTAAAAACTGGAGCAGAAATAGTCTGGAGTAGCTGTGCATAGCAAACAATCAGATTCCAACTTCAGCTTGTTCTGTTTTGAAAATAGAAGAAGATAGAAGCCGATTGGTTGCCATGCATAGCTGCTCCAGATCCTGTCTGCTTCAGTTTTGATAAATTCCCATCTAAGTATATAAAGCAAATACACAAATGAAATCCATATGTATATTTTATTTGCTGGCCTGGAGCTTAGTTTATTTTATTTTAGTCTGTAAGTTGCCAAACCTTTAAATAAACGGGCGAATCTCGGTCCATCTGATCCAAGACACAATGCAGAGATGACTTCCTGCCTGATGACTGACGGAACCTGAAGCAGAACTGAGTGTCCCCCAGGCAGCCTGGAAATGAGAGCCAAATGCAAATAGATGACCTCACTCAAATCAATCACTGTCACAATTTCTCAGGAGAACAGAAACACTGACTACCAGGAAGCGGAGCTGCACACATTATCAAGATACCTAACAAACACAGAATCAATATTTTTATGCCAACTTACTGTCTGTACTTCAAAGCCACAGAAATGTCCCACTGACCTTCCTTAGTTTGAGTCAATGACACGCTCGTGAGAGCAAAAAGGCAACACTTCTACTTGTTTATACAGCAATATCTTTCCCAAGTATGACATCATTACCTAAAAGTGGGAGTTCCACCCAAAAGGGGAAGTTCCGCTTTAAAGATCCTTTAAGGACTGGCACTTTTGGGGAGCGGGGGGGGGGGGGGAGGGTGAACGGATACCAGAGTTTGACAGGTACCCGCTCCCACTTCCGCTGCGATCGCCTAGGTGATCGGAAGTGGAAATTGTCCTCCTACCCTCTCTCCCCGAAGTCTTGTGGGACACGTGACAGGTCCCAGAGGAGGACGGGGCCATTCAGGAAGCGCAGAACTACCCCGCGCATGCGCAGTGGGCACCCGGCTGTGAAGCCACAAGCTGTCACAGCCGGGTGCCCACACTGAAGACGCCGGTGCCTAGAATACAGGACAGCCGGTGAAACAGGCTGCGGCGGGGGCAACACGGGATCATGGGACAGATGAGTGGCTGTTTTTAAAAGTCAGCAGCTACAGTTTTTGCAGCTGCTGACTTTAATTTTTTTACAGAGTGAGTGGAACTCCGCTTTAATGTTGATAACATATTATATAAACAAGGAATTGGAACTTGAAAAGAAGAGACTTTCTTTTCCTGTCTATTATATTGTAAAAACATGGTCTTCAATTTACAATGCTTTGCAGAAATTACCTCCAGCCACCATTACTTTTAAAGTGGGAGTAAGGCTACTTTAACACTACTCACTTGTAAAAACACAGCAAAAATGCATCTGCATTTTTGCTGCATTTTGCACCCGTGAAAAAAAAAAATGACTTATAAAAACACTCCAGAAACACAACTGCGGGAGTGTTTTTGATGTTTTCAATTCATTTCAATGGGAAGGTGCATTTTTTTGGTGGTTTTTTTACCACACCAAAAATGCAGCAAGCAGGACTTTTGAAAAAGCGACAGAGCTGCAACTAACCAATATGAAGAGTTCCATAGTATTTAATGGTCATGCATTTTTCTTATGCTTTTCCTTTTT